TCGTGGCCCAGCGCAGATTGTCATGCCACCACACTTCATAACTCCAATCTCGAAGGAGGGGCCTACTGTAAGTAAGTGCATGCGCGAAGACGTTTTGTCTTGCATGGTGGCAGAGAGCACCTTGCTGGACAAAAGAGGTCACATCATGAGGTGCATCACAATGACTTTCTTGCTCATTGACTTGTTGACTAGCAGGCATGATGTCGATCGTGAATTTCATACCCTCCTGAACGTACCACCTTTGCCTCGCGCATGGCTGTAGGTTGTGACTAATTTCGCATTCGACAGCTGGATGCTCACAAATCACATCAACCCCAACCAACGACAGCAACCATTCACACTGCAGAATCCTAGGAACTTCAATGGGTGCCGTCTCCACATGAAAGCCATCTTGCAATCTAGTCCAAATGACCACAAGGATGGGCATGTTACGACTAGCAACCTCTCGGATCCCCACCATGTAGATGGTGTCAATGTGGTCAGCTTCTCGTGGGGACCGGGGGAAAGACCCTCGCGACAGTGAATTCAAACTCAACATCAACAGCATCCCACATCTCGAAGCGAACCATTCCAGCAAAGAGCCGAAAATCAAAATCACCCCAAGAACAAGGCATCGACCACGAATGCTCCAAACCTGAGGTTACATGGCCAAGAGTAAACGTCACATACTCAGCATTGCTGCGACACAATGCAACAAACTCTTGCCTCATACCTTCTAAGTCAAGGATGTTTGTATTCCTCGTGACGAAGTCTTGAAACGCTCTCCAATGCTCCTCATCTAGAGATTGCGGCGGCAGTTGTGCACTCCATGCTTGGCGCTGCAAAATATCACGCGAGAACCTTCCTGTCACGGAGGTAGCGTATTTCTGCATCATGTCAGCATGGTCTCCACCTTGCGGGTCTGATACACTAGCAGCTGAAGTTGCAGTGTTACCCTCATGTCGAAGGCCAGGTGGCTGCTCTTCACTGCTTGCCACATCCTCGAGCATTGGCATGAAACACTGATCGTCATCACAGCGTTCACTCTTCTGCGCGATGACAAAGTCAAGGAAGGAAAATTCTGGCACCTTAATCCTGTCATCAGCTTGAAAGACTGCTTGCGGGCCACCTTCACGCAAAGAGAAAAGGATGACCACTTGCTGAGCTTCTTCCTGAAAAACTCCAAGCTGCAAGATTTCACCTATCTGGCGGACTGTGGAAGTACGTAAGCACACGAATGCTTTACGAGAGAGGAACTCTCTACCATTGTGCAATTGCGTGCTTCCTGTTTTCCAAATGTCAACCAGATGGATCATGTACTCGTCCGGCAATCAATGGTTCTCAAATGCCAGCACATGTATCTGCTTGGGTTCCATACCAGAAAGTCTTGGAGGCTGCGGAGAGCTGTCACAGCAACTCTTGGCACTCTAAAATCTTCATTAACTCGCCAATACGTACAAAGATTTCTGGCCCAGTTGCCATCGTCCAACAACACCCGATCGCAGCTGTACGTCACCGGCAAAGCAGGGTGTATCCTCCAGACTGCTAACAACACTGCTTCATCAGGCGCAGGGCCAAATGGCAATGCTCTGATCCAACGCTGCAACATATCTCTCTTGACAAAGTATTGGACAGCAAAATTGACAGCGTCATAGATAGGCTGTCTGTGCTGAACAGCTTGCTCAACCCTAGCCCATCGAATAGCCGCCGTTTGTTCTGTCGTCAATTGCATCATACTATTGCTGTCATCAATACCTGCGAAAGGGGTTGCAGTGTTTTCCCCTTCAGGGGTTGCAGTGTTTTCCCCATTCTGGCGCACATCGTGCCCTGTACCATCATAACGGCCCAGTGAGAATGCTGTCACAAGTGCTAGATGTGCCATTTGAGTGCTCCGGGGTACGAACCTCATCAATGAAGACCTTGAAAAAGTCCCCATGATGAATGGGGACAGTTTGGCCATAATACCACCGATGATGGAGTTGCTCAATCCAACAATCGATGCCCGAGGCACAAACATGGCCCAACTGTACTCTGTCGAAGAAATTGCTAGCATCGCAGCTGTCCCGTCCCCTTCGGAACAAAACAGTTCCCAACTTCTTGACCGGACTAAGCTGCTGCACAAGAACAACGGCTCCATCGAATGCCCCCTTAGCAGTCAAAACATAGTGTCTTCCACGTACACCTGCCTGCTTCACTGGAGCAAGGAGAAAGGAAGCCGTGCCCAACTCATGGCTAAAGCATTCCACAATGAGAGGCGCAGGGCATCGGTTTTCCCAAACACAAACAAATTTAGAAAAACTGCGAAAACTGTTCGCTTGCAGGTAGTGATGAAACCACACTCGAACAGCTAATTGCCCTCTTCCATTACATCCACCCTCAAACATGGATGGGTTCAGCAAGTCACTCAGTCCTGGGTGGCCTACCTGCATCAGTCAATCCGAAACCATTGACCATTACCAACACGGTGACCAACCGGAAAGTAACGACTGAGATGACTTTGGCAAAAAGGCACTCGAAGCTCTTAAAGAGCTTCTGAAGTTCTGCAAGGTGCAAATCAGATGGCGCCAAATGCATAATGGGTTGCTCGTTGCCAACTAGAATGACCACCTCCTGCATGACCCTGCTAACTAGCATCAATGAGCACGCGGTGGCAGAAGGCTGCGGCACAACTGGCATTAACATGCTGTGACTAGCATCAATCTGCGCTTCAGCTAGCTCGCCAATTGCCCATCTTGCATCAGGATCCAAGAGATCGTCAGAAGCTTGCGTGGTAGAAAGCGTACACTGGGATGTGAAGATCTGAACTGGGACTTCAAAACTATTAAAGCCACTCCATTCGTTCACAATTCTTGCCCACGAGGCACCATTCGCCAAACTGAAACCATCAACCACCCCAGTAGCATTTCTTTCCTGACCAGGAATGCTGTCATTGCGATGCAACTCGGACTGACCATTCAGCACTGAGGCATCAACCGTTAGCAAGTACGTGAAGAAAATCACTCTCCAAACCGCAACTTGAAGTTGGAGGGGAATTCTGGCTTGCCTTCGCGCTCTACCAACCCAGACGAGCTTCTTGTGCCGACAAGCAGGCTTCCTTTCGACAAAGGACAGCAAACGTCAAAGCAGCACAAAACACAGGAAAAGGACTGTTGCGGCATCAAGAGCCAACGTTGACCAAACTAGACTTCTCTGAAGTCCAGCAATTTGCTTGGCATCAATTGAGCCATAACCCTTTCGACTGGGCGAACCTGCATGACTGCTTGAACCTAGCCACCCGTTGACTTGAAATCCAACAGGAACTTTGGTTGATTCCTCCTGACATTGGTGACATTCATGCCACATAGCTTGACCTAAGTATGGGCAACAAAGGTTTATATGCTTTCGCTCTCGAAACTGAGGCAAGTTCGAAATCATTCTGTCCATGTAATGAAACCAAACATGTCTGCGAGAGCCTGCAACCGTGGATTGACACTTCAGTGAAGAGCTGCCTTGCCCCAAGCGAAACTCATCACTACGAAGTGTAACGGCAGAAAAAACCATTAAGTTGTCAGCCTCAAATGGCGCCAACTCAAAGACTCCCAAAACCTCCTATTTCTTGGGCCCTTTGGACTTGGGAGGACCCTCTTCCTTGTCGGCATCCTTGCCCGATTCTTCGATCTTCCTCTTCGGTGAAGTAGTATTGGGCTTGAACCGACCAAAAGGCTTGAGATTGAGCGTGAATGCCTCTGATGCTGCAGCATCTGACTCCATTGGCATCGCATCCACATCGACTAAATCGGCATCCTCCGTCGCTGCTTTCAGCATTGCTTGGAGATCCGAATCGTTGATGGTGTCTTCTATTGACAGAGCACCTGCTTCGGCAGTACGGGATTTGAGATCCTTCTCTGCCTCCTGCAACTTTTGGACTCTTTGTTGATACACTTGTACGGCCTCCGTGCGTTGACCCAACGAGTCCTTTTGCTCTTTGATCCTCTGCATCACCATCTGTTGAAAATTCTTCCAGGCTACATCGAGATCTTGAAGCTTTTGCTTGGCCTTTTCCATTTGCTTCTTTGCATTCAGCAAACGGTACAAGTGCGTAGCACTTAAGGCCTGATCTTCTGCTGCAGCCGGTTTCTCTGCATCCTTGCGAACTGTTTGATCCAGACTGGCAAGAGCTGCTAATACCTCCTCTGCTGGATTGTCGCCAAGACTTTGTACTGCCTTGCACAGCGTAGGAATCGTCTTCTGCAGCTGTGGGTTCTTCTGCACGACGTGCTGTAATCCTTCTCGCTGGCGTAGAGTTTGGCCATGGCAGATCCTCTTCTTTGAGCTCCTTGCTTCTGGTGGCAAACGGCCTTAATGGATCGTAGTTGGTATCCTCTTTGGTCTTTGTCTCCGAACCTGCACGATTCTTGGACTTGGACCTTTTCCTTCTCTCTTCTGACTTTGTGCGCTTGCTCTTCTGATCCCATACTTCTTCCCACCATCCACGACATAGCTTGCATGTCAGAGCCTTCTCCGAATTGGCGACCTGGCAGTAAAAACAATTCCATGTTCCTGCCATGATCCTTTGAACCAGGTGCAGATTCGGCTGGGAACCGTGATGCGCAGTCAGAATCCGAAAGTCTCGGACTGCCTGCTTGTATTGCTGCGGCTCGTAGCCCAGCGAAGCCTGATCCTGCGCCTGGTGGCTGTGAAATGCCGACGCCAAGAGTCTTCTCTTGGCCAAGTCGTCGACGCAGCAAAGGATCCAGAAAAAACAACAGCAGCACACGAGAAGCCGCGCGCCCATGAACGCGCGCTGAGGTCTAAGCAAATCCTGATACGCATTCGGGGGGCAACTCCGCACGCGTACCCGGAGCCAAACCTTGCGATGGCCTCCAACCTATAATAGCGACGGCCTCCAACCTACTAGAGATGGCCTCCAACCTAATAGCGATGGCCTCCACCCTACTAGCAATGGCCTCCAACCTAATAGCGATGGCCTCCACCCTACTAGCAATGGCCTCCAACCTAATAGCGATGGCCTCCACCCTAAGGCTTTCGAGGTGGAGCTTGGCAATGCCTTGAACAAGTTGCCATCCGCCACCGAAGAGCTTTGGCGCGGCGCGTGGCTGCCGGTGGACCTGGTCGAGGCCGTCGCGGCCGCGAAAGCTTCTGGCGCGCCAGTGAGATTTCCATGGTTTCAGTCGACCACTACGGATGAGTTGCATTCCTACAAGTTCATGCACACCAAGTGGCAGCCCTCCTATTGCAAGCCATCTTGTGAAAACAGAGGACTAGCCTATCCAGTTCACTTTCATATCCATAGCTGCAAAGGGAAGGACATGACGAAGTGGAACCCCAAAGAGTCAGAGGTGATTTTGCTCCCCAACTTGCCTTTCACGGTTCTTGATGTGAAAGAGCTTGTGAATGATGAAGTCTGGGAGTTTACGGCACCTCAGATGGAAGCTTGGTTGCGAGAGACCCATTTGCTCCCGGACTGGTTCACCCAAAAGAGCACTGGCAGTATCGATGACCCGGATGCGCCAAGAGGACCTTGGCCTAAGCTGGCTGACAAGGTGAAGAAGGGGAAGTGGGATGGTGCCAAGTTCATCAAATGGTACGAGAAGAAATGGAGTGAATCAACGAGATTGAGGTTGAAGATGTCTCGGAAGGAAGAGCAGGATTTGGGTTATACGCTGCGATCGCGTTTTCGCTTGCCAAGCATTTTCCAACTCTCCGGGGAGCTCACGAATGATGCATATTCTTTTCATCAGATTGAATTAAAGGATTCTGAAGCATGTGAGTAGTGCTGTTTGCAAGTATACAGCCCCTGTGAACGGCTGATTGCTATAACTCAGAAAGCCATTTGTTGCGCAAAATGGCTTCCAGCAACCGAAGCACCATGTAGACTTTGCTTGGCAAGAGCCCTCAACGCCCTGAAAAACAATGTTCTTTAGTGTTATAACAAAAACTTTCATTGGAAAGAGCATGTTTTCTAATTTAAAGAAAGAAGTCAAAAACAAGTCAATCCCAAAAGTCAAAGTCAAAAAAAAGTCAAATCAGAAAATTTCAGAAAGTCAAAAAAAGGTCAATTTGCCCAGATCCGACTGTTTTTGACTTTTGTTCGACTTTTTGTGGCATATTTCGATTTTTTTTGACTGTTTTTTTGACTTGTTCGAGTGGCTGACTTTTTTGACTTGTTTTTGACTTTTTCGAGTTGGAATTTGACTGTTTTTGATGTTTTTTGTCGTTTATTCGACTTTTTTCCCCAAACAGTGTGGGCACACTGAGGGGTTCTTACGGTAGTAGAAAAGCAGCTGATTTTTTCCCTTGTTTTCGACTTTTGTTTAAACTTGTTTTGTTTTTTTTGCCTTTTTCGAGCTGTGGTCTATGGTTGACTGTTTTTGACTCTTTTCCCCAAACAGTGTGGGCACACTGAGGGGTTCTTATGGTAAGGGAAAGGAAGCTGATGCTTAGATCGCTGAAGCGCGCCGGCGTGAACGGCTAAATCAATGCTATTTACAGTACATTCATGCCTCTCGACATCGTCCATGTGCATTTCGACTGCGCAGGCTGCCAGAGTCTGCATGAGGTGCTTCTGGCGACTGCGCTCTCGTTGTGGTGCCGTGCGCATTTTCGGACATGGTGGTGACTTTTCGTGGTGGGCGCAAGGGAAACCTCATGTTTTGGTGCTTCATAGTCGACTTTTCGTGACGATCGGAGCTGTTTTGCTTCGAAGTATAGTTTTCGTGGCAGGCGCAGCACTTTGGACATGGCGGTGATCGTCGAGGAGCTCAGATTTCGTGACAGGTGCAGTGAATCGAGACTTTTGGATATGTGGGTCGTTTGCAGATTTCGTGGCAGGCACAGCACTCTGTCACCCTCGATGTGCAGGTTTCGTGGCAGGCACAGCATTCTGTGACCCTCGATGTGCAGACTTCGTGGCAGGTACAGCACTTTGTGAACCTCCGAGCGCAGATTTCGTGGCAGGTGCAGCACTTGGTGAACCTCAAAGTGCAGATTTCGTGGCAGGTGCA